GTTTGCACTGAAAAGTCAGCTGTAATCCTAATGGGTTTTCCTTTATATGTGACTTGTTGTTTCTCTTTTGCAGCTTTCAGTATTGTCTCTTTGTTTTGTACATTTAGTGTTTTTACTATGATTTACCATGGAGGGTTTCTTTTCTGGTCCTGTCTGTTTGGTGTTCTATATGCTTCTTGTATTTGTATGGGCATGTCTGTCTTTAATTTTGGAAAATTTTCTTCCATGATTCTGTTGAAGATCTGGTCCATCCATTATCTTGGGATTCTTCTCCTTCCTGTATGTCTATGATTCATAAGTTTGGCCTTTTTTTAGTGTCACACAATTCCTGCATATTCCATTCTTGTGATTTCTTAAATTTTTCCTAATCTTTTTTCCTAATCTAGTTCACCCACTTTATCTTCCAGTCTTGATACTCTTTTTTCTGTTTCATTCATCCTATTGGTGAGGCTTTCTCCTGTCGTTTCTAACTGGTTTACTGCATGTTTCACTTCCTTCTTCATTTCAGCCTGAGTATTCTTCAGTATTTCTAACTCTTTTCTGAATTCATTCAGAAATTTATCCCTATCTTCCTTCAGTTCTTTGATTTCTTTTTTGTGTGTTCTTTAAAAGGATTCACTGAATTCTTTTATCATGTTTATAATTGTTCTTTTGAGTTTCGTGTCCTGCATTATATCTAGGGTATTCTCATTGTACTCCTCTAGAGAACTATTGGTATTTGGTGGGGATATGTTATTTTTGTTTTTCATGTTATTATTTTTTCTCTGTGATTTTGACATGTGAATTTCTTTTGTAGTTTCTGATTCTTGTGTGAGACTCAAGCGTTCAAGTTTAGGTCTGCTTCTTTTTGTAAACTTTATGTGTCTTGTAGTTTACTTTTGGGGCATGAAAAACTGGTTCCTCTAAGCTTCTGGTTCTCTCTTTTGATTTTATATTGGAGTGGCCAGATTGCTTTTGTCTTCAGGAGTTCCTACAGAGTCCCAAGTCAAATGAGGATCAGATGCTCTCAGCCTTTCTCCTAAGGTCTGGGTCCCTCCAGGAAAGATTTTGGCCTAAGGAATTTGGTGGTTGGACTGGCCTGGGAGCTGGGCCCAGGAAAGATGCTGGTCTAGGGCAGCTAGCAGCCGTGCCACCCAGAGATGCAAAGGAAGATGGGGGAGGGAGGCGGCCCCAAGGGCTCCTGGGGACTGTACTGAGGAGCTGGGTTGGTCTGGATGCAAAGGATCAGGAAGAGGAAGGGTCAGCCCCAGCATCCAGGAAAGAGGTGGGTGGGTGGTGCAGGCCCAGGGAAGTAGAGGCAGGTGAGGGTGGGGCCAGACCTAGAGTGCTCCCAGGAGAGAGGCCTGCGTGTTGTGCAGGCCCAGGGAAGCAGAGCAATAGATAATTTTTTAACCAATCTCTATTCATCCAGCAGGTTAGGTTTAAATCATTTTCTTGTCTTAAAAAGCACATGAGATAATGTATGCAAAATCCTTTGGACTTTGTATGATCTGCACAAATGTAGGTGGGGATGGGTCATGAGACCCAGAAATATATTAGGGGTAGTAGAAGAGCTAAGATCCCATGTGCCATCCATGTCAATGTAGCCTCTCACCTGCCATTGCCCTGTACACTGCTGAACAGTGCAGGGCAGCAGTGCTTTGCTCTCAACTCTCCAGTTTGAGCTTTCTTTGTTTGCTATTGTTTGTGATGCTGGAGATGGAACCCAGGCAGGGCCTCACACATCTTAGGCAAGTGCTGTACCACTGAGCTACATACCCTAGCCCTAAGAATAAATGTTGATTGTCCCATCAACACCATGGTGACTTTCTGATTTCCTCAGTCTCTGCAGCATTGATAGTTCCTTAGCATTTTCAATTTTGGAAGCAGTACATTTGAAACATTTGCATTTCCTGAAAGGCCATGAGAGGGAAAGCAGAAGGATTTGCATGATCTTGCCTAACTGATGCTCAGTTCACCAGGCAGGTGAATTGAGGTTAATGCCTTACTTTCAATGAGCATGGAGTATGTTAACCTGTCTTCCATTCAAATGACTGGCTAAAACTTGCAATTTAGGGTTTCAAAGAAACATTCAAGATCATGAAGTCCTATCATTTTACAAATGGGATGACTGAGTGGGAGAGCTTATATGATTTGAAACCATGAAGCTGGAAGAACTTAGAGTAGAGAGAGACCCCTAGCTCCAGGCCGTGCCCTAGCCCACCATAGAAGTATTCCCCCTTGTGAGGCACTTAAATTTTTATTCTATATAGGAAATTTGGTAAGGAGAAACTTCGTGTGTCCATGGGTATGTATGTGGGTGTGTGTTTGTGTGAGAGTGCATATGTGTGTGGATGTCTGTGCGAGAGTGCGTATGTGTGTGCATGGCCAGAGATCAACCACAAGTGTTATTCTTCTGGTCTCCTTTTATAAAAACAGGATCTCTCTCTCTCTCTCTCTCTCTCTCTCTCTCTCTCTCTCTCTCTCTCTCTCTCTCTCCGCTTTCCACGTAGGGGGATCCGTGAGCACATCTACATCTATCTCTCTCTCTCTCTCTCTCTCTCTCTCTCTCTCTCTCTCTCTCGGCTTTCCAAGTAGGTGGACCAGTGAGAGCCCATCCATCTATCCCTGTCTTCCCAGAACTCGTATTACCCCAAGCCCAACTTTTTCCTTTTATCTGGACTGAGGGACCAACCTCAGGTCTTCACACTTGTAAGGCAAGCACTTTACCAACTGAGCTCTGGAAAAACTTTCAGATTCTCAACTTCCTCTCAACAATATCTTTACATTATTTCCTGAAATATTCGCATGGTTTTGTTCTACAGGCTAATGATCTATGAACTGATTACTATCAATAATTTTGTTTAGAATCCTGTGGTAGACACACAGACTGGGGTCAACAGGGCAGAGGTTGTTTTCATTTTCATTTTTTATTTTTCCCTTGGGTGCCACAATGCTGGCTGGCCTTTTAGAGGAAAAGAAAGAAAAACAGAAAATTATAGACCTGCCCAGGAACAAACAGGCAAGAAAAAATAGAAGCACACATATATGGTAAGAGGTGGTCAGTGGGTATTGTTTTTATAATGAACACTCTGAAGAGCAGGGATCTGGTAGTAGGTTCTTCTTGGCCATTAAGATGAAAGGTACTTAATGAATATTCAGCAGCCTGAAGGGGTTAAGTGGCATCCAAAGGTCACGTAGCTACTTGAGGACAGAGGAGAACTCAAGCCTCTTTCTCTGCTCTTTTCCCTGGCCCTGTGTCTCTTTCTTTCACAAATACAGCATGGTAATGATCATAGCAGCCTGCCCAGCAGGTTGGTAGCAATGCTCTTGGTGCACAATCCCCACGAGGCAATGAAGAAGACTAAAGCACAGGTGTTGACTCTTCAAATGGGTGGAATCTATTGTGGTTGTCTCAGAGCAGCAAATGCTGAGTATTTTACTTACAGACGTGTATTTCACAGCAATGTGGCTTCATGGGAATAAGATTAGCCTTTTTTTATAGCCCCTGAGGATCCTATCTTCCTATACCCACAGCATCTTTTTACATCATTAAAAAGTAGCTGCTTGTCCCTTTGAGCCAGGTCCCCATAGTGCTAAGGAAAGTAGGCAGGCTGATACTGGGAAGTCCAAGTCAAAATTATCTCCCTTGATGCACAAACCAGCAAGTCACACATCAAAGATGCAGGTAGTATTCAGCAAAAGGCAAGTCTAACAGTGGTATTGGTAACAACCCCACACTAGAACATCTAAATGACTGTCCTTAGTAGAGTGGGTAAATTACGGTATGTCCATACTGTAGAGCACTAATCAATGGTGAGCACGAACAAACGAGCTTACACTTCAGCATGAGTGAATTGTATCTAGGGAAACGTAGGAAGCCAGACATAAAAGAAGCGTTGCATGGTGGCACACACCTTTAATCCCAGCACTCGGGAGGCAGAGGCAGGTGGATCTCTGTGGGTTCAAGGCCAGCTTGGTCTACATAGTGAGTTCCAGGAAGGCTGAGGCTACAGGGGGCCCTTTTCTCAGAAAGAAAAAAAAAAAAAAAAAAACAGAAGTGTTGCAAGAATCCCTTTCAATAAAGTACAAAAGTAAACATAAATGATCTGTGTGGTCCAAAGTTAGATAATGGTGCTCCAGATAAAGGGAGGGTGACACCAGAAGGGGCTGAAGAGGCTCCTGGTAGTGTTCCATATCTGGATCTGAGGGTAGGACTGGTTCCCTGGGTGGGCCTACTTTGTGAAAATCCACCCACCTGTATTCTTTGTGCAGTCCTTGCCGCTATGCTTGTTGTGTCCATACAAAGTTTAGATTTGAAAACAAGCAAACAACAACAAAGAAAAGAACCTGCCTTTCCTGCTACTTAATTGTGCGGGCTCCCTGTCTCACTGGTGGCCACTCTGTCTTTTGTCATTCCAGCAGTTGCAACAGGCACACCTGCCCAGGCAACACCTCCAGCAACAGCGGACTCCATACCCAGTGCAGCAGGTCAATCAGTTTCAAGGTAAGGCCACTGTGTACCTCCTTCTGGTCCTACCTCCCAGGGACACAAGAAAGGACAAAAGAAATCAAGCTGTGTACAGGTGTTCTGTGCCCTCAGAGCCAATCAATGTTCTTTGAACAATTAGGTTTCTCATTTGCCTGCAGTAAGGAAGAAGAGGGGAGTTGTGACACAATAGCTCTTGTTGCAGGTCCCTCCCTTTCACCTTAGTTCTCGCATCACATCTGATGTGGACTTGAGCCCACATCTGAATCACAGCCCTACCTATGTCTTAACTGACAGTGGGACTGCATTCCCAGAGTTTCTGGTCCAGTAGATCTGACCAGAGACCTGAGGATTTGTATTTCAAACAAGCTTCTAGGAATTAAATTATGAACTAATCAAAAAAGAAATCTGGTAAAAGCCAGTACAGTGTCCTTTGAGTTTTGTAGGTTCATAGCTCATTTATAATTTTTTGGAATAAAGGGACCCACTGAAATTTAGTAATCCTCTGTTCTCTAAGTCACAGATAGGTATCTATATAAGTAATTCTGAATGCTTTGGGTCCAATTTAAAACTTCTGCTCCTTGAACTTTTCTGAAATCTCAAACCACAGGTAATCAACCTAGAAATTTAGCTCCACAAAAGTAAAACAGCCAGCATGATATCTTAGAGTCTCTGAGCTGCTTGCTTTGAGATATGATAATAGTTTTTACTATTAAGTATTTTCATGGATTTTATTGGAAACTTAAGTAGTATGATATTATGCATCTGAGAAAATACCACATTGATAGCTAATAAATATTCTCCAAGGAAAACAGGAATCTATACTGTACTGTCCATTCTATATATTTTAAAGTACTTTGAATGACCACCCTTCACTCACTGAATTCTGTGCCTCCAGGAGTGACTTCCTTTCTTGAGAATGAAAATAAAATATAAACCCTTGTAGTGGAAAAATGCATATTATCATCTCTATTTGTAGTTTTGTCCTTTTTATCTGGCACTGAGGACTGAAGCTTGCTATTTGAATATGGAAGATTTTCTTTGACATTGTGATGTTCCCCAGTAGACAAGAAAACTAATATGATTACAGAGTCTTATAATAATGTCTGTTTTAGACCCAAAAAAGGTAATCTGTTTAACATATATAGTAATCAGGTAAAGAAAATTCAATTCTTTGAATGCACTGCAAATTTTTCCTTTAAAATTACTGAAGGCATAATACTAGATTAATTCACTTGGGTTTAAAATATTGTGTTGAATGCTGATTTTTTTTAAGTCTTTTTGAAACAGAGTCTCCCTATAGCCCCAGCTGGCCCAGAGCTCCCTATATAGACTTGGCTAGCATTGAACTCACAGAGATCCACCTGTCTCTGCCTCCTGAGTGCTGAGATTAAAGCATGTACCACCTCATCCAGCTTGAGTGCTGATTTTTAAACATTTGTTTGTTTGTTTTTTAATCTTATGTGTATGGATATTTGCCTGCATGTATGTATGTGCACCTCATGTATGCCTGGTGCCTGTAGAGGCCAGAAGAGAATGTCAGATCCCCTGAAACTGTAGTTACAGATATCTGTAAGCTGCCATTTGGGTGCTGGGAACCGAACCCAAGTCTTTTGAAAAATCAGCAAGTGCTCTAAAGCACTGAACCATCTCTCCAGTCCCTGATCACTGATTTTTAAATGGTTTCTTAGAAAATAAACTATGCATCTAGCTAGTGTATTTATACTAAATCAAAATAACAGTTGAGGGGCTGGAGAGATGGCTCAGCAGTTAAGAACACTGGTTGTTCTTGCAGAAGACCCAGGTTCAAATCCCAGCACCCACATGGCAGCTAACAACTGTCCGTAACTCCAGTTCAAGGGATCCAACAGCCTTCTTCTGTCTTCCCCAGGCATTGCACGACATTGTATGACACAGGTACATTTACCTACATGCAGGCAATACACATATACACATAAAATAAAAATAATAAAAAAAAATTTTTAAATAGCAATTGACTTCAATGAATGCTTGACTGTTAAAGGGTACTGCAACATTTCTGCCTGCTAAAGAAAAGAACCTATTTCTTATTCATAAACGCAGTCCACACAGTATCCAGATTTTCAACATATCCATTATAAATATACAACAAAATGCCCAAATTATGACAGTCTTTCACCTGTGATCAGCAGCTAGCAATCTGAGTATGTGATCTGATTCTCTCTAATCATTCTGAGTCAGCCATATTTTTCTCTTAAAATTTTCTGTAAACAACTCAGTTCATTTTACTGTAGTTGATCCAACTGGCCATGAAATCAGTGGTGAAGGTAACAAAATGTTGTAACAAGATTGCAAGTTACCATCCAGTATTTAACCAAAAACTTTTGATATCCTTCAAAAATAAAATGTCTTGGTCAAGATTAAGCTTAAAACAAAAAATAGAAAACTTCTAGACACGTACTCCATTTCTTTTCAGGTCTCCTCAGAGTAAACATTCCATTTTCCAATGTGGTCCCAATCCACAAAAACTTAAGTCATAATCAAAATTCCCATAATTTTATTTCTTAAAGAAAGGAAGAAAATATGGAGACATACTTGATGCCCATAAATCAACAGCCCCTTCATAGAGATCAAAGAAGGGGGTGGGGGGAAGCTTCCATTATCAACTAGACTGCCAGATTTATTTGTGATCTCAATATTTTTGTGGTCTATTTAAATATAAATAAGAGTTGATGGGGATCATCCCTGGGTTATGGGAGTCAAGTAAGTGACTTTGTCTCTGTACTCTTCAATACTTTCCAAAATTTTCACAATTAACATATTTATATTTATTAAAAATAATGATTGTGGGGCTGGAGAGATGGTTCAGCAGTTAAGAGCACTGACTGCTCTTGCAGAGAACCCAGGTTGAGTTCCCAGCACCCACATGGTAGCTAACAACCATCCATAACTCCAGTTCCAGGGGATCTGACACCCTCTTCTGGCTTCTACAGTCACTGCATGCACATGGTGCTTCTACATAATATGCAGGCAAAACACTCATATCATAAAATAATTTTTTAAATATTTTATTATTTTTATTTTCTGTGTGTGAGTGTATTGCCTGCATGTATGTGAGTGCACCCGTGTCGTGAAATAATTTTTTAATAAAATAAAAATAAGTATATCCTTTCATATACATGAATTTCATCATTCCCAAGGAAAATTCCAGCAACATCTTACCACATACTTATATGGTGAAGAATGATGGAGTCCTTTCTTTCCCTATAGGTTCACCCCAAGACATAGCAGCCGTGAGAAACCAGGCAGCCCTCCAGAATATGCGAACGTCAAGGCTGATGGCACAGAATGCTAGCATGATGGGAATGGGACCCTCCCAGAACCCAGGGGCAATGACCACAGCAGCAGCCCAGTCAGAGATGGGACTGGCCCCCTATAGCACCCCTCCTACCAGCCAGCCAGGAATGTACAACATGAGCACAGGAATGACCCAAATGTTGCAGCACCCAAACCAAAGTGGCATGAACATCCCACACAACCAGGCCCAGGGACCCAGGCAGCCTGCCTCTGGTCAAGGGGTAGGAATGGTGAGTGGCTTTGGTCAGAGCATGCTGGTGAACTCAGCCCTTACTCAGCAGCATCAGCAGCTGAAAGGACCAGTGGGCCAGGCCTTGCCTAGGCCCCAAGGCCCTCCACGGCTTCAGAACATCATGGGAACAGTCCAGCAAGGAGCACAGAGCTGGCAACAGAGGAGCTTACAGGGAATGCCTGGTAGGACTAGTGGAGAATTAGGACCATTCAACAACGGTGCCAGCTACCCACTTCAAGCTGGCCAGCCAAGACTGACCAAGCAACACTTCCCACAGGGGCTGAGCCAGTCAGTCATGGACACTAACACTGGTGCAGTAAGACCCCTCAATCCAGCTGCTATGGGCCGGCAGATGATGCCACCACTCCCGGGGCAGCAAGGTACCAGCCAGGTGAGACCACTGGTCATGTCTGGCTTAAGCCAGGGCATCCCTGGCATGCCGGCATTCAGCCAGCCCCCAGCACAGCAGCAGATAGCAGGTAGCAGCTTTGCTGCAAGCAGCCAGGGCCAGACCTATGAGAGGAACCCCCCTCAGGACATGTCATACAATTATAGTAGTGAGGGTACTGGGGCTTCCTTCCCTGGCCTCCCGGATAGTGCAGATCTTGTGGACTCCATCATCAAAGGTGGCCCAGGGGATGAGTGGATGCAAGAGCTTGACGAACTGTTTGGTAACCCCTAGTTAAGAGGGGCCCAAGAGCTACAACAGTAGTGGTGAAAGCTTCCCAAGTGAAAAAAGAAACAGGATGCCGACCCATCTTGTTTTTTTGTTTTTTTGACCCATGTAAACTGAGAAAACTACAGCTGGCTGACAGTGGAAGATCCAGGTGTCAATTCCCAGCCCCATGGGGCCTCATTCCATCTGATTTCCACACAGTAATCAAGAGGAGATGCCATGCAGATCCCTGCTTGCAGAGAAGGGACATAGAGGGCAGGTGGGAAAGTCGAAGCAGCCGGAGTTCTCTGCTCAGCACCCCTGGGATCGCCTGGTCCAGCGAGAGCTGTTCCAGCCCAAAGGGACTGTGGCCCAAGATGAGGTTCCCTTGGGCACTCCTGCCTCAGGTCCGGAGACCTCGGCTTTGGAGACAAGAGATGGAGCCTCAGCCAGGGAGAGCCTGTCAGAGGATGAGAGGCACACAGGCCATGTGCACAAGTCAGAGATGCTCTGAACTCTGGGTGGAAAGAGATTAAGCGTCCACGTTCCTGGATTTGGAGACAGGCACAAAGAAGAGTGAGCTGGTCTGAGCTGGTCCCAGAGAGACAAGCAAGGATCCTTCAGGCCTGTCTGTCTCCCACCCTACAATGACCCTCAGGAATGGCAAGGCATTGCTGCCAGCCCCCTCACCAAGACAGCCGACTATGCTTGAGAAGATCCCAGCCAGTAGTCCTTGGGGACATCTTCTGCCAGCAGCCACAGTGGCCATCACTTCAGGTTGCCTCCTGAAGTCCCCATCTGATTTGACACATCTAGCTGGTTTTCATCTGCTTATGGCCATAGGATAGAAGGATTCTGTGTCTGCCAACGAGGCCACCTTCCTCCCCATATCACTGCCTTTATTACTCCTGGCCTCCACCCTAGCCTGCCTTTCTTCTCTTTATGGACTATCCAGAAAGTAAAGCTTTGGGGCAGGGTCAAAATGAATGCAAGAAGAGTTTAGACAGTCACTGACACACAAAGGCAACACTGGAGTCTCCTTTCTCTTCTTGGAACAGAATGAGCTGCACTGATGTTTAGGTGCAGTTTTATAAGAACCATGCCCATACTTCTGATACTACCAGGAAATGGCCTAGAGAACCCCAGTTCTTCCAGACAATGCCAGGGATGACTCCAAAATCAGCCTTGCACATCATCCCCATCATCAGAAAGATGACTATAAACTCCTAGAGATAGAAAAGCAGAAAGGTCAATAGCTCCACCCTACAAATTTGGATACTGAAAGGAGGAAGATGTGGTACCTTCCTAAGGTAGACTACTTCGAAAGTTCTGCACAGTGGTTTTCTTTGTAACTCACTCAGCACCTGTCCTACCTGAAGTCTGTCAGAAGGAATCAGCAGCCTCTACTGTCACAAGCTTTGCCTCTTGGTCTTTGCCTTTCCTCCCAGAGTCTCATCTTGGAGGACATAGAGCCAAGCAAGGTAGCACACACTCTTAATTCCAGCATCCAGGAGGCAGAGACAGGCAGATCTCTGTGAGTTCGAGGACAGCCTGGTGCACATAGCAAGTTCCAGGCTAGACAAGGCTACACAGTGAGACCCTGCCTCAAACACGTGCACACACACACACACACACACCGGAGGTCATGTGGCACTTGTTCATAGTGTCTTCTTTCCTCCTGAATATACATACAATGGCTTCCTTCTGCACACTCACATTCAGCACGGGAGATCAGTGTTGGGGCTACAGTGGCTGTATCCAGAGAAGCAAGTCCAGAGAAAGTGCATTCCAGCAGAAAGCAGGGCAAAGGGTTATGGAGGGGAAGTATTGCCCTTGACTTTTTCTCCATATGCCAAGGGTTTGAGACCTGCTCAGCAAGGACAGGAAGTAAAGTCAGAGGTACCAGGTTGATGGGCTGCATGCCTCTCCGAAGAGGTGGTGGCAGGTGACTGTAAACTCCCAGAATGGGGAGGTATTGCCACCAGGGAAACGGTGTGGAAACATGTGAAAACCAAAAAAAAAAAAAAAAAAAAAGTAAAGTGAGAAGATATAGACTACACAATTACCACCTTTCCTTGCCAGGTACAGGAAATATATAAGCAATGATGAGAAACTGGAGGTGGCTGATGGGGAGGGGCTCTGTTGTCTTTTAAGAGCTTCCTCCAAGTGCTCAGTACTGGGACCAACTAATAGAGAGGTAGATTTTACTAAGATTGTTTTGTTTTGTTTTTACTACGGTGCTGATGTATATGTAATGTCTAAAAAGTTATTTGTACATAAGTTTTTACAATACTACAGATATTACTGGGTCTACTATATGTAAAAAGTATACATATAAAAATATATATATGCTGTTTGTTTAAAATAGAGTATTTTTATTTCATCCTTTAACTCATCATCACAGCAGTGGTATTGCACTTCAGATGACATCTAATTACTAATTTGTACTGTATGACCTATGGCAACTTGCTCCATTTTATTCAAATTTTTCTAGTTTTCTGTTTTTACTTTGTACATCAAGCATTGCTTATTTCCTTTTAAGAATTGTACAGAGCTCTGAAATGTAGAAACAAAGTGATGTTGACATACCACTTTTAAAGAAAAAGAAAAAAACAATGAAAATAAAAGGCCATTATCTGAATCAATCCACAGTGTAGTTCATTTTAGGATCCTATCTGGGTCCCCAACAATAGTTAAGCAGATGCATTATTCTTGAGTTTTAGTGGGTTAATTGCAAGTTCTTCTCTCAAAATTTTGGTGTCATTATTTAAACATTTAACAGTTGAAATCAATCATTCCTAGTCTTTTTTAATTCAACCACAAAACTGAGACTTTCTAAATTTGCCAGAACACCATGAAGGATGTTGCAAAAGGGAAGAAGGTCTAATGCCCAAACGTCCATGTAGATCTAAAACCATAGCAATTCAATTTTTAACTGGTTCACTCAGAAGACTCAGAAAATGGAGAGTGGACCTGGTGTGATGGCTCCGTGGATAAGGGTGCTTGCTGCCAAGACTGACAACCTGAGTGTGAGCCCTGGCACCTACATGGTAGAAGGAGAGAATCAATTCTCCTAAGTTTAACCTCCCTAGTACACTGTGGCACGTGTTTGTACACACACACACATACACACACACACACACAAAAATAAAAAAAATGGACAGTGAAAATTTGATGGAAAAAAGACTAAGGAATATATTGGGGAGAAATAATACAGGGGCCTTGCCCCATTATAGTGGACACTTTGGCATTCCCGCTTCCTGGTGTTTCTTATTTCTGCTAGCCCACACTGCATCCCTCAAAGCAGGGCCCAACCCAGCTTTGTCTGTGCCCACCCTCAGAGCTGAAAATGCTTCCAAGTTTATACTCCTCTGATGACTTTAGCCAGTAGCTTACTAGTGCAGGATAGTGAGAGGCCAGTTAATTTGCCTGGACAAACTCTGAATGATGCTTCCAGCAGGACCAGGCCGAGGATGGGACTTGACCCACTGTTGCCTCGTTGCTTGGTTTCTTCCCCTTCTAGTTCTGCTGCTTCACTCCCTTCTTTTTCTCCACCTTCAAGCCCTTCATTAATGTATCACACACGGGAATCTGTTTCTCCACCTCTTAGGAGACCTGTCCTAAGACACCATATGGAATTTTAAAACACAGAGAAAGTAACAGTCAGAGGTGACATATTTCAAAATTCTCTGAGTTAAGTAGAAAAACAAACACAGAAAAAAGTCATCAGTAGAAATGGATCCAAAACAGAGGTGAGTTTTAATACACATAAGGCAAGACTGTGAAAGAAGAGTCTGGCCCCCACCACAGTGGGCTGTGCTTCCAGACTGGCTTCCAACACCATGAAGAAAACAGCACAACACTGGGCTTGGTCCCTACGCAAGCCAAGACTCTCCCAGATAAAAGGATCCATTTTGGTTGGAGGGAGGATGGGAGAGGGAGCTGACAGCTGGGTAAAAATGAGAAGCTCCAAGAAGACTTGATTACTCCTCATTTAAAAATGTATACTAAAACCTGCTTGGCGCCGCATGAATGGGATACCTTTCTTCTTTAAAAAGTATAAATCTATGTGCTGAGGAATAGCTCTATGTGCTGAGGAATAGCTCAGCTGTTAAAGGCTCTGGCTAACAACCAAAAAAAAAAAAGAATAAAACTGTGGTTTTATTAAGATAAGACAATGTGTGGGGTGAAGTTCATGTTTAAACAAAATTTTACAGACACCTAAGGCATACCTAAGAAGATGTTAAATGTAGCTGTAGATGCAGGTTTAGAAGATGCCGAGAGTAGAAGATTCCTAGGATTCATGAGGATGTACCAGATAACTCTAAATATTTTGTGTTTCAAGCCCCATTGTGAAAGCTAATCTCCCAAGACCAGGATGTTTAAAATCATTCGACCTTTGAGTGGGTTCAAACAAACATGTTCAGTGACTGAACCCTGACACCAATGGCTTCATAGCTCAAAATTCAAAACTTTGAGGCACCAAGAGTTTCTACCCCGAGAGTGGGCTCTCCTCATCCCTCCTCCCCCATCTCCCGTTCCTCCAAATTCCTCTTCCACAATACTTCAGCCAGTGGCACCAATGGACAAACTGAATTTGGATAAGGGTCTTCTGTCTGATTTCAAGAGTGAATGCCTCTAAGACAGAATGGTCTGTGTACACTCTTTAATAAATGACTTTCTCCAACTTGCATCATCAAAATGACAGCTTTGATAACTTGGGGACTGGCTTTGTCCTGTCTGGGAATCAACACTGAGTTCCAGCAAAGAACACTGTGGCTTGGAGGTTTCAGCTTTTAAGCAGTCTGTCCAAGTCTTCATTGTGGGGTCAGCCATTTCCCCAGCCAGACCCCCAAATTTAACCAAAATGGTCCTATACATCTCCCTTCCTCCTCAGCCCCATGCCTCCCACACCTAACTCATATACCATTAGTAGCACCACATAGTTATGCCATAGAAAACATATTATGCCATAGAAAACTGGTGGAAGACAGCAGTAGGTTGTAGAAACGCTTTTTTAAGGTGGATACTATCTTTTTGCTCTCCTATGCTCCCAATTCTGCAAGTTTTATCCTCTACAGAAGGTCTTGTGTTTTTCTCAACACAGTGGTCTGCAGGGGTCTTGAAATACCCCTTTACCGCCACTGTGATGGAAGTACAAATCAGACCGATTGGAACAGCTTTAAAGTACCTGGACTGCCACAGGGCCCAAGCCCTACACCAACTCTTCAAATGGGCATCTTCTTGAACCACCTGTTTGGTGTTGAGACAAACAGAACTCGCACCCTCCTCCAGCACCTACAGCCAGAGGAGGAAGGTGCTGATACCCCAGAGCTGTAGGAATGTCGAGTCAGCCTTGTTACAACCCTCATCCCAGAAGGATGTACACTTTATGGGCACTTGGCATTGGCCTCCTTAGCAGGGACCAGTTCAGCAACATCGACATTCATCCAGTTCACCAGGAACACAAGCTCGATAGAGGCTTGTTTCAATCATTGGTTCCTGCTCTAAACCCTGGGCAAAACCTTGTGGCTTTTCTGACTTTTTTCTTTAGTTTGCTCTCCTCTCCCATTATCTTCAAAATCCCAATCAGCTGTGCGCATGCCGCCGTCTGGCGCATTTGGCTGGCTCCTGTGCTGTTTTCTGTGACTGTAACACTCAGCAATGTGGTCAGGGCAAATCCAGTTTCTCTGGCTCACACAGGCTGTCCTCGTTTGAGAAATCCGCTTGAGACTGGACTTCACTTTGTCCTTTATCATTTAGTGGAAAGCTTTTTCTTCTCCCTCTTCTGGCACCTCCTCTGCTTTCTTATTTGTTTTTCACCCGTAGTGCCCACTGGCTTTCTTGTGTTGAAAAATGACACTACTCAGAGTTAGCAAGAGCTACCCAAGCGTTAGCAAGGCCAGCGACTTCCACGATCAGCCAAAGAAGTGGTGCCCGGGACAGCAACAAGCCCTGGTTGCCATTCGGTCCCTTCCTGAAGCAGCAGCTACCTTCAGTGTCACAAAGACACCTGCGTGCTGGCACCTGCTCTGCACAGGCGCTACGACTGCACTGACACCATGACACTTGGAGTCTACCTTTCTCCTTTAAAATTTCCTGTGTTGGAGGGCATGGGGGCGGGGGCGACTGGAGAGATAGCTCAGCTGTTAGGAGCACTATTCGCTCTTGCAGAGAGAGGGCCCAAGTTCGATTAAGAGTACTGTCTGCTCTTGCAGAGGACCCGGGTTTGAACCCCAGCACCCTCACTCCTGTTATCCATCTTTAACTCCAGATCTATGGGTATCCAGCGCCCTCTTCTGGCCTCTTTGGCCATTGCACACTTGTGGTACACATATAAATATAAACTAAAGATACATATAAAATAAAGATAAATAAAAATTTTTAAGTTAAAAAATAAATAAAATTTCCTGTGTGATCTTCCTAGTGATCTTGAAATCCTAGTGGGGTGGGTGTGCAATGCAGAGGGGAGACCGCAAGAACAAACTTCTTCAGCAGTCACTGGGCAAATCTGCCTCTGCAACGGGTTAAGGAATGTTCCCAGCCTCAGGTGAGCTGCTTCTGCCTTTCACAGTTCTTTTCAAGGACTGTATCTGGAGAAAAGTGGGGGACAAACAACCTGCTATTTTTCTTATGAATGACCATTTTTGCACACAGTATACAGATGAGTAGCAAAGGCAGGGGAAACATCCAGGCAGAAACGGGACCATCTCCTTGAGTGACCTATGCCTTATCTTTTCATTTTCTTTTCAATGTATTTTCTTCTTTGCAATCTTCCCCTCTGTTTTCTTTTTTGGTTCAGGTCAAAGGGCATGAGATTTCTCCGCCTGTATTCCCTGCACCAGCTGCCACAAGTTCCTGTCACACCTCCAATAACAGCAGGAATTACTGCAACTTCCAAGTACCTGGGGCCCTCCTGTCTCTGCCCATGCACAGGCTGTCAAAGCCTAATTTTGTTTGGTTGTTTCAACTTCTCTTAAGGTTTTAAACATTTTCAGGGCTAGAGAGATGGCTCAGCAATTAAGAGCACTGGCTGCTCTTGCAGAGGACCTGGGTTCAATTCCCAACACCCATATGGCAGCTGACAACCGTCCATAACTCCAATTTCAGGAGATCCAACACCTTCTTCTGACCTCCACCAGCATTGCATAACACCAGTGGACTTACATACATGCAGACAATACACTCATATACATAAGAAATAAAAATAATAAATAAATTTTTTTAAAAAAAACTTTGAACATTTTCCAACAATCAGGAAAGAAGAAAGAATCCCTATGTAGTCACCAACAAGGCTTAATCATGGTTGCTACTTTGCCATGAATACTTGACATGCATATCTTGGGAACAGTTCAAAGCAAGTCATATGCCTGTGACCACAAGTCATGTGCATGAGCTTCCACATGCAGCCCTAGAGGACATGTCTCTTTTACAAGCACATCACACCTAGGACAGTTCCCAAACATCTTCTCATTCCATATGCAAATTGCTCCAATCACCTCACAAAGATCTTCCATATGGGTATTTTTTTTCCCTGAACCACAATTTATCAAGGCTCTCCCACTGCCCTTTGGTCTTCATGTCTTTAAAACTTCATTAGTAGACACAAGTTCTTCTCTGCCCCTTTGTTCATGACATTAATTTTTTTCAGGTAATAAATCTGATTTCTAAAAATAAAATGTGTCAGTTTACTAATATGCAAAATAAATGTATGTATAACTGTCAAACTGAGAAGAAACTATCTGGCCTAGTACTGCAGAAGGGTCATGAAATCCAGGCCAGCCTGAGCTATGTTGTGAGACCTTGTCTCAACAACAACAAAAAAGAAACATCTCTTTGGCCAGGAAGAATGAAACCGTAACTGTGGAAGAGGCTGGCCCTACCTAAAGTCTTAGAGCTCAATTTAATGGGAATTAAAATAATTCCTGATTGCAATGAATTAGAACCAAAGGAAAAAAAATCCATGGTAACATTTCAAAACAAAGTACATTGCCTGTTTCTACCTATTATTTAGCCGTGTGTGTGTGTGTGTGTGTGTATGTGTGTGTATGTGTATGTGTGTGTGTGTGTGTGTGTGTTGGTTTACATTGTTCATAACCATTTTAAGCACAAAATAGAAATTGTTTAAAATCCTAAAAATTTGGATAGTTTTTTTTTTCTACTTCCAGCCAACATGAGTATGGAATAACTGTGCTGCAGGGTCAAAAATTATGCTTTCTCTTCTTTCACTGTTTTCCATGAACAAAACAAATCATGATCCAAGCCACCATAATAGCAGGCAACACTAAGCAGAAGCACTGTGGAATCATGGTGTTTTAGGGGATTAGCCCCATTTTACTGACGAGCTAAAAACTGCCCAGGGTGTGGCCAGCAGGTAATAGGACAGGGTCATGTGGCTCTGGAGTACTCAGTCCCTGTTAAACTTCCTACTGATGGGATACCTTGCCCAAAATCAAACACCAAGCAAGTGGGGGGATTTGCTTATGTTCAAAAGTCCCCATTTCAACCTAACCCATTGTCAGTGTGCTGTTTGGGAGGTTGTCAGGGTGTCTCTCACTATTCTGGAACCACTTGTATTTCTTATTTCCTTTCTATTGTTCACACTCTTCAAAAAGCTCTGTGGTAGGTTCATGAACATTAAATAGCTTCTGGAAAATGTCTATGTCAAGTGGACAGACAACTCTTTTCCTAGCATATTATGGACCTTTTTCCTAAGGTCTCTGAAAGCTGAAGACAGAATCATTCCCATTTCACAGATGGAGAAAATAAAACAGTAAATGCAATGTGCCAGACAATGACTGCACATCAGGACAGGACAGCCCTGCGTTCACTGACATCCTAGACCTTGCCCCCAGATCCCACAGTATACAGATATGCAGTGGAATCAGACCCTCCTTCCTCTGCCCAGGGGCATGTATACTCAGCTCCCTGGGTGGGTCCTTAATGATACATTTTTTTTTCTTTTCCTTTGTTCTTTATGAAGTATACTTTTGACAGTCAGATATGTTTTGTGTGATTAGTTGATGACTTTTTTCTCCAGCTACTTTGTCTGACATCTACTTGCAGCCATTTATTGCTTTGCTGTAACCAGTGCAAAGGGGCCTCATCTGCCTTAGCTGCTTCTGTCTGAAACTTTTCATCAGGACAGGAACTGTCTCAGAGGCAGGCTGTGGTGATGATCTACAGAAAGTCCAGCATATGGGTAGCATAGATGCACTGGTGATGTGGGTGGACCCACCCAACAGCAAACTCAGCTCTTCAACAGGAAATGGTTCTGCAAAGGGAGTGTTTCCACAAAACCATTACAAGAAAAACAAAACAGAAAGGCTCTTTATTAAGAGTTTTATTTAACAAATGATACCACATTATCTTTAGAGCAGTGACAGCCTCTATAAGTATGAAAGGGAAAAGAAAAGTTAGAAGGTCCGCCTCAATTTCTTGGCAACATGGAAGTCCAGGTATTCGTCCAGAAGTCCGTTTGCAATCCCCAGGCCAGCTAGGACACCCAGCAAGGTCAAAATTCCCATGCTCAACCGGAAACCAAAAATCCTACATAGTGAACATAAGGGAGAGAGGTGACATACTAGGCTACGTTGAGGGATCTGGGGTCCTGGAAAAGGCTGTTCACTGTTGGTACTGATCAGAACTTCCATGATATGCCATTTGAAATATTTAATTTTTAATCATAAAAATTAAAGGGGAACCCAAGACACAGAAGTCAGCTGGCCTCTTTAACCACTGAAAACATTATTAAGAATAGGCAAGATTATTTTACTGAAGACTTCCTACACACAGTGCAGAATTCGTGCTGGGACTGAAAGGACCCACCCATCCTGTGCAGATTTACTCCTGCATTTACCCATCCCATGCCTAATTGTGTGACTTGGCAAGACTTGGCCTTGGGCAACATGGCTCACTTTGACCTCCAAAACTCCCTGTGGTTTTAATGCCTCTCAGAAACAGAAAACTAATCCCAACTCCATCCTATCATATCTTGTAAAAATACTCAATTATAGGGCTGGAGAGATAGCTCAGAGGGTAAGAGTATGGCTGCTCTTGCAGAGGACCAGGATTCAGTTCCCAGCACCCACATGGCAGCTAACAATCATCAGTAACTCCAATTCCATGTGGTCCAACACCCTCTTCTGGCCTCTACGAGCATTGCATGACACTGGCACATATATGCAGGCAAAACGCACACACATAAAATAAAAACAAATAATTTTTTAAAAATATCCTATTATTGAGTTTTCCTTACCTTTTATCAGCAGCTTCTGCGTACCCCCAAAAATACTTGTGACGAGCATACAGGTACGCTAGACCCAGACAAGTTGCAAAAACTATGGAAGGAAAACAGATGAAGTTTACAGAACATGATGAATGCTTCCCAAAATAACATGTGGAGACCAAGAACATATTTTAAAAATATTTATCTGAGCCCAGTGTGGTGGTGCACACCTTTAATCCCAGGACTCTGGAGGCAGAGGCAGGCGGATCTCTGTGAGTTCGAGGCCAGCCTGGTCTACATAGTGAGTTCCAGGCCAGCTGGGACTACAGGGAGACTCTATCTCAAAAAGACAAAAATATATATGTTTATCTGACAAAATGTTTATACCTAGAATATATAGAGAATGATAATAAAAGAAAAATAACTTTTTAAAGTGTGTAAATGCCTGAATACATAGTTCACAAAGGAAGACAAAGAAGTGTGCCAGTAATTACATGAAAAGTGTTCCAACATGATTCAAGGTCAGCAAACTACCACTTAAAACTGCAACAAGGGCTAGCAAGATGGCTCCGGGGGTAAAGGCACTGGCAGCACAAGCCTGATGACCTGAATTCCATCTCCAGAACCCACATGAGGTGGGAGGGCATAACTGACTCCACAAAGTTGTTCTTTGACTTCCATGCATGCACGATGTCACACATACACACATCATGAGCTCAAGCACACACACATAATAATAATAATAATAATAATAATAAGAAGAAGAAGAAGAAAGAAGAAGATATAATAATAATAATAATAATAAGAAGAAGAAGAAGAAGAAGAAGAAGAAGAAGAAGAAGAAGAAGAAGAGGAAGAAGAAGAAGAAGTTATTTTTTTATTTTAAACTTGGGCCCAGAGAGATGGCTTCGCAGTTAAGAGCACTGGCTACTCTTGCAGAGGACCCGGATTCAGTTCCCAGGACCCATATGGGGCTTACAACCATCTGTAACTCCAGTACCAAGGGATTCAACACTTTCTCTGGCCTCCTGTGTCACTGCACTGCATGCACACGGTGCACTTACATGCAAGCCAAGCACTAGTACACATAAAATAAATAAGATATTTTTCACTTAAAAAATTTGAACTACAGTGGGATGGTACCTTCACATACCTACAAAAACAACTACAATTTAAATGGCCAACAATACAGAATGGTGAGAATATAGAGCAATGGAATCCTCATTGAGGGTAAGCCACTTTGGACAAAGTTCTGAAAGTTTCTTATAAAAGTAAACATATCATTTGATATCATTCTATGTATTTACCCAAGAAACAGGAAAGCACATGTCCATAAAAGGACCCATTCATCTGTCATCATAATCATGAACTATTTATTTATGATAACCAAGAATCAGAATCATCATCCAGAAGTCTATCAACAGGAGACTTGATAACTGAGCTGAGTGTGATCATTCAGTACAATGTAGTTGCTCAATAATTAAAAGAAACATATATGTAGTGTGGTAGTTTGAATGAGTATCCCCCATAGACTCCAAGTATATGAACATTTTGTCCCCAGTTATTGGCACTATTTTGGGACATTTTAGGAAGTGTGACTTTGCTGAACATTGGGATCATGCTTTGAGAGTTAAGCTTTGCAGGATTTTCAGTCAGTCCATTTCCTGGGCCTGCTTGAAAATGTGATCGCTCTGCTTTCTGCTCAGGCCGTCCCCTGCCACCATGCCTCCCCACCATCATGGACTTTAATCCATCATGTTCTAATGCACAGTTCTTCTGGAACTGTAAGCTAAATAAACTCTTTCTTCTATAACTTCCCTTGATCATGGTGTTTCATCACAGCAATAGAAAAGTACCTAATACATGTGGCAACATGGTGATGCTCCATGGTGACACTCAGCACACTTGGTTGTAAGCCACAGCATTATGCCAGGATAGGTACTATTGTACAATTCCAGTCATATGAAGCTCTAGAATGGACAAAACTAAAATACGAAAAAAATTAAGTAGTTTGGAAGGGAGTGAGAACTTGAGGCTTGAGGGGCAGAAGGAGATTTTCTGAGTGGTGGCCATGTTCCTTATCTTGATAGGAAGTTGAATCACACAGGTGTGTATCTTTGTCAAAAGTCATTAAACACTTAAGGTCTATACATTTCATTATGTGTAAGTTTTAACTGAAAAAAAAATTCAAAGTACAATGCGATGTGCTGACATTCGGGCCTGTAAAAATATCAGTCTTCCTGAATGAGGGTTCCCTCCCTCAGTGCTTCATCAATGCAAACTGGACTTCTAAATTCAGGACTGTGCCATGCCATGCTGAATAAAATTAAACTCACTATTTCACTTGGTCACCAAGATTTTTAATTTCCACTATATGCCAGGTGTTATTCTAAGCATTGAGTTAGCAGTTTCCTGCCTTGATAAAGTTATTGCTCAAAGTAAGGTTGGGGCTGTAGCTCAGCGGTAGATTACTTGTCTAGCATGGGTTTGATCTCTAGCACCACAAGAAGACAAAATGAAGAAAAGTAAACTTCCTGTCTACACATAGCTGATACTTTGTATGATATAGAGGTGTTGTTATGTATATGCATATATGTTGTGTGTGTGGTATATGCATGTGTTCATGTGATGTGTATACATGTACATAGACAGGTGTCCTTGCATGTGCATGCATGTGGAGGCAAGATGTTGATGTCAAGTGTCTTCCTCAGTCATGTGCCAAAATTTTCCAGGGGGAGCGATCCACCTGTCTTCCTTCATGCCACCCAACCTCCAGTGCTGGGGTTACAGGCACATGTTTCCATGACTGGCTCTTTACTGACTAAGCCATGTCTCCAATCTCTGACAGAGTTTTCTTAGATCAATAGAGGAGAGAGAGAGAGTGAGAGAGAGAGAGAGAGAGAGGAGGAGGAAGAGGAGGAGGAGAACAAGGAGGAGGAGAACAAGGAGGAGGAGGAAATTCCAGGCTTAAAAGGACTGTGAAGAAACTGAAGGGGAATGTGGGATGGAGAGGAACTAGAGGAGGCCGTCTTTTTAGAATGGGCTTTGGTGGATACTCTTTGGGGAGGAGGCACTGAAGGATAGAACAAGGGGACCCAGAGCAGTGGCAGAGCTGTCTTATATCTGAGGATGTTGACAATTCTGAGCATGCTTTCAGTTTCAAGAATTACTATCCCAACCTACTGAATTACTCCCACAAAACCAATGAGAACAGCCACGGGCAGCTAGTATGCAACTCACTTTGGGAGAGAAAAAAAATTTAAAAAAAAATTATGACAAGATACCCAAGAACCCCTTTCCTGCTGGGCAGTCAGCCTCATTTAGCCCATCACAGGGAAATCTGAGGGGTCAAATGGCAGAGACAGAATCCCATTATCTAAAGTCACTTTTCTTATTAGTTGTTAATATGCCCTTGGATGAAAAGTAACAGCCACTTTCATTTATGCCATTAAGGGACAAAAGTATGAGTTGGATAAAGTTAAAAATGTCATTTTCTAAAGGTCATTTTATCAGAAATTCCTCAGTTGACAGTAAAAATTACAAGCAAGAGATTGATGAAGGTTCCTTGGAAGCAGCTGGATTTTGGTTTATTTAAATCTTAGCAATCAAATGCAGATCCAAGTGAGGCCATGAAAGTTACCAAGAATCAAAGGCGATTCAATTTCTCTAGCTAAGTTATTCGTGCAGATCAGACCTCTCAGGAACACAGAGTTTGAACAAACCCCTCATTTCACCAAGGACACTCAAGCCAAATAGAAAGAGAATATTTGTAGAACTGCCACTTAAAAACTATTATACCATATCCTTCTTGACCTTTAGTACAGGGGTTGTTGGGACAAATATCAATAGACCCTGCTCTATCCTTGAAGGGGAAACTTTTCATATATAGATGACTGTCAAATTGGATAACTGCTAACATCTTTGCGCCTCAGTTTCCCCATCTGTAAAGTAGGACTCATTAACTCTGTCTCATAAGAAAGTCTTAAATCTTACAAATCTACTACATGAGAATTAAACTACCTAGCACACAGTAAGTGCTCCATAAGCTTTATTATTGTTATGAATGTAAATTGTTAATTCTGTGTTCTGTTCTTCCAACTAAATTAGATTATTAGATTTGAAGGAAATAATATTTTCATCCTTGAGTGTTTAGTATATAGTTCATCCCAAGTTGTTTGTGCTCTGTAGCCATACCACTCTGAATTTACCCTATCTTGTCCAAGGGCTCTGTGTGTGTGTGTGTGTGTGTGTGTGTGTGTGTGTGTGTGTGTGCTGGAAATCAAACCCTTGGCCTCATACATGTTAAGCAAGTACTCAACCACTAGGATACATCCTCAGCTCTTAGGTTTGTTTTGCTTTGTTTTGTTTTGTTTTGTTTTGTGTTTTGAAACAAAGTCTCACTCATTGTGTGTTGCTCAGGCTGGCCCTGAACTCAGGATCCTCCTGACTCTGGATCCTGTGTGCTGGGATCTCAAGTATTTGCCACCATATCCAGCTCCAACTTTCTAAAAAATATTTAATTAAATCACAATGAAGTCAAAATTAGCACACCTACAACACAGATGCACACAGGTATGGTTTCTTTAATTTAAACTAATTTCTGGAATCAGTAGGTATATGGTTGCCTATCTGCTCCTTAATTGTTTTTAAGCACCACAGTCATCTTTAGAATGAGTTGACTTGCATCTTACCTTGATTGAAATACCATCCAGCCATCCACAATGTTATGATGAATACAGGATAAGCTTCCAAAGAGTTTTGTCTGCAGGAGAAAAATAAAGATGTGGGTCATTCATGAAGAAGCATGCATTAATGTATGGACTTTTCAGCTGCAGGTGAGTGTTCATTCTATTCCAACAAAAATAATAAAAGAGATTACATAAAGAATATAAAGGATACTTCCATTTGAAAAGAGTCTGTCAAAGTGATGTGGCTCAAACACTGCTCAAACTCAGAACAGGAATCATTCTCTCACATACAAGGTGTCACTAGTAGAAATGATTCATAGCTCTTTTCTAAAAGACAGGTCTCCAGAGTTGAAAGATCATCCCATGTGCTACCCAGGGAATCCAAGAGCTTACTCAATTCATATTAAACAGATTCTTCTAAAATATTCCTTCACATCCATGTCTCTCTACTTGAGCGTCTCAGAACATTCAAAGAGAGGCTCTATATAATTCCCCTAAAACCTTCTGAAGTAAATGAATGGACACGTTTACTTCCCATTTTATGGAAGAAGAAAGGCCTAAGGGCCAGGTTGACTGGTATGTTATAGGAAATCAAAAGTAGACAGCGTCCATCTCTAATTCTAAAGCCCTAGCATCAAATTCACTCTATTTGTAGGAAACTTGGATAGAAATTTTGATACAATTTTAAGTAAAATGGACGAATTCTCTGGGAACTATAACTAATTCATCTGCACCCAGCAAAGAGGTAAAAAGACAAATTATATTCATCCTCCTTGCTGAGCTGTGCCCCCAAAGTGATCCCAGCCTCGCTCTTTGCTGACAGTCCACTTTAATGTCCTTGTTAATGCAATCTGGAGGCAATGCTGACGGAAGAACCACAGCCTATAAAACTGCAAAGGACCTCATAGCCTGCCTTCAGCAAGCCTTAGAGCTGACTGGATGAAGGTAGGAGGCAACTGAGCAGCTGACCCGGAAGAACTTAATGCTGACTAGTAAAGACTTGGCTCTCTTCACTCAGGTCACCATGAGTTATTTTTTCTCAATAAAGAATAAAAGCACAATTATAAGACATAATACTTCCCTTATTCTCCTACAAGAAAATTATAGGTAGGTCAGCTCACACTTATTAACAGAGATCTCAACCACATGGGACCGAGTTTTCCAGAGTCATTCAGCCATCCATTGAGATTGCTGAGCCTGCTGGCAATCCAGCTACTCAATGTTATCCCAGCTGCTTGGGAGGTTGAGGCAGGAGGATTATAAATTCAAGCCTTGCCTGGGCTACAAAGTGAGCTCAAAGCCAATCTTAGAGCAACTTAGTGAAATCTTGTCTCAAAGTAAAAACTACTTTTTTGTTTTTGTTTTTTGTCTTTTTGATACAGGGTCTCCCTGTAGTCCCAGCTGGCCTGGAACTCACTTTGTAGACCAGGGTGGCCTCAAACTCACAGAGATCCGCCTGCCTCTGCCTCTCGAGTGCTGGGATTACCGGTGTGCGCCACCACGTTAAAAAGGAATGGAAGGCTAGAGATGTTCCTCAGTGGTAAGGTGCAAAGCCCTTAATTTCTACAACCTCAATAAAGGAAGAGGTTAAAAAAGAAAAGTGACAGTTGACGAGCCCAATGCTCATATAAAAGTCATGGCAGACGCAAAATCCTGAAGCAAAAGTAAGAAGCCCTAACTTCATCAGCAAAAATAGTGAGGGTCCCCTAGGAGCCCAGCAAACCGGAAATGAATAGTGTTAATGCAGAAATACCTTCTTCTCCCTCTTCTCACTGTTGTCTTTAAAGGCCAAAAGACCAGGAGTCACCCAGGGTCTCCTCTGAGCCCAACTCAAGCCAGAGCCACAGCTCTCTAGTACTCAGAGAAATAAATAAAATGTCTCTTTCTCCCCATCGTTGGCATGATTTTCCCTCCGACAGTTGCCTGAAGTTTGTAAGTAGCTATGATAGGTTAAGTGAAAAGATACTTTATAAATTTGCATAGTGAGGATAATTACAGTTAGCTAAAAATAAGAAACTACTTCTTAGCATTTCCTTTTCCTTGGCTGGAGCCATGAAACTGTTTTCCACGAAGTGAAAGAGAGAACCACACAAGAAGGTTCTAGTCCTTTCCACATTCAATGGAATTTTAGATGACCCTTTTTGGAAATGCCACACAATTTCCCCATCATTTATTCATTAGGTTTCATAATAAACCCTAAATTATTCTAGGTGTAAGGATTGAGTTTTTCCATATCTTTTCATCCAAACACAGTTGTGATAGTTTTAATCACCTATGAAGCATCCCATTTTTATCACGGACAAGTCTAGAGAACTTTCTTTATGGTGACCTTGGTGCGGCATTTGGAGAGCAAAGAGATACTACTGTAGACCATCTCAGTCAGGCCCCAACGCACTAGAGGGCAAAGACTTTGGGACCCTGTGGCCTCTTTGAATTCTGTCTACAGAGGTTGGCACATAGATGTGCTTTTCTGTTCCTTGCCTGAAAGAGGAAGAAAGCCTCTGCTCGAGAAACAGAAAAGAAATGAACACGGAGGGGCTCCTTCGGGTCTTTTCCTCCTGCTCAACCTGGGGAACTGGCTTCACACTTAATGGCGAGCAACCTGGATATAGATGGAGCGTCTTTGTGGAAGGCTTGGTGAGACGGTAAGCACAAGCAATGAGATGACAGGACAAAGGTAGAGAGAGGACTATGTCCCTCACCTCCCACTGCTGCAAACCCTAGAGCAGCCCCAGGTTTCAGTCCAGGTCAGGAAGATGCTCAGAACCTGAGGAAAGTTCCATACTCACTGAGGCCCACCTTCAATTGCTTGCAGCAGAAGCTGTGTTACTAAGAATGCCCCAACTACCAGAAGTAACCAGAGAGCTGAGCAAGTTGGTGCTAAGAGGCTGGGTGACCTGGGGGTTTTTCAAAGCCATTGAGATCAGGCAAAGAGTGATTATAACTCCATTTGTGCTCATAGAAGGGCAAAACCTAGAGCATCAGAGAAGGTTACTCCAAATTCTGCATCCTCATCTCCCAAGAAATTAGTCTTCTTTTCCCTAAGGCAGTAGTCATTGCTGGACTCACCCTGGCCTCATGTCCCTCTTTGGCTAACATGCCTCAAGCTTTGGTTCCTTTGAAATGCAGTGTACCAATTACTTTTATCATTGCTGTGACAAAATATCTGATAAAGCAAGTGTTTGTCTTGGCTAACAGTTTGAGGGCACAGTCCATCAGGATAGGGAAGGCAGGGTGTCAGTGACATGAAACAAATGGTCACATGACCTCCACAATGAGTAAGCAAAGAGTGATAAATGCTGGGGATCAGCTGGCTTCTTCCTTTTTGACCTTTTAATTCAGTTTGGGATCTCAGCCCATGGGATGGTGCTACCTACATTCAGGGAGGGTCTTTCCTTCTCAGTTAACTCTCTCTGGAAATACCCTCAAAGACTAGTCCAGAGGTGCATCTCCTAGGTGATTTCAAATCCATGACGTTCACAATGAAGAGTAGCCATCACTTGCATCTTTATCCATCTCTTGTTATCATCTATCAGAGACAGGAAATAATTCTCTGACTGCCAGTGGGGGCCCTGCTATTAGCAACTGCCTACCTGGTACTATTGCTTTACCTTAAAACATCTAGAGTTCTATTCTGTCTGCACATTATCACCTCCTCTCCTCCTTCCACCCTGTGATCACATCCTTCTCCCACCAGCATTACTTCTGAGGCCTTACAAGGCCCTTCAGTACAATGATGAAACATGGTGTGCTTCATGATAACCAAATCTGTAGTCTGTAGGCAGATAAATTCAACTCAAAGGTACCAAATACTGAAAAGTCCTTGACAATACTATCAGAAATTAATTCACTGATATGACAAACTATTGTGGAAACAATTTTCAGCATCTTTCTAGCCATCATAGCAGACATAATCTATACTCTCCATACAGGGATCTTCAGGAAAATTTCCCAAACAGGATGACGGACAGCTTGGGGCAGCCAAGTGCCAATTGCACTTCATGTGAGGCACAGAGTACAGTTGGCTATGATCACCAATGGCCCTCCCCTACATGTCCACACTAGGAGAAAATGGGCTGTGTCTAGTTATTTCCTGATCACAGCCCCCTTTGTGCAATAACCCCGAACTTTTTGGCCCTGATGTCCCCATAGAACAATTGGGGAGGGGCAGCTCATTCATTGCATGTAAAACCCACCAGGAACCTCAAATTCTGCAGTATTCTACACGGAAAGTCTTCCCAAGAAGGACAGTAGGGGGAGCAAGTGTCCTGGTTTGACTTGGACTGAGATGGTCACCAGAATGTGGAACTTGAAGTTTTGAAACCAGTAGAGTAGCAGGTAAATTGTCCTGGTTTGTCTGAGACTAAGAAGATTTAGGGAACATGGAGCTTAAGGGTTAATCTGTGAGCAAGTCTCAGAAAAACTGAAAAGGTTGGTCACTGTGGAGAGCAGGTTGTGCCCTGCTCTAAGTAACTCCACACTGTGAAGCAATGGCTTTCAGGCTGCACCTTGCCATGGGTGATTCAAGCAGTCTTCAGTACCGTTTTGAGTGCACATACAGTGGAAAATGGCCCTGCGTCTCATTTATGCCCACAAATACCATCACCTATCACCTAACCACCCATGAGACGCAGACTACAAGTAAAAAGTCACCACTTATAAATTTATCAAAATAGAATGGGAGCATATGAGCACGTGAGCATATTAAAACCGTACTGGAAAAAACAGACCCAAGAACTTATCAATCATGCCAGACCAAAGAAGGACACCTAACACTGCAATGAGAATCAATCAATCGTCATCTCACCACCAATCGTCATCTCACCACCATCAATCGTCATCTCACCACCCCCAGTGTGTGCATCAAGGGACCAATTAGCAGAGGACTCCCTGCTGTCCCCTGGCCTTCAGTTGAGGGTGGTCCCTATTGCTTGATGTGGCCCGTGGCCCATTCAAACTGCTGTTGTCAGTGCCTTACCTCTTTGGTCCTATACCTTTGGACTCAGCCTTGTAATTCTGTGTTGGCCTTCAACAGCTGTCCAACTGGGTTCCTTGATATCTTATCAAATCATGT